TCTGTTGTAACCGCATTTAAGAAAGATTGCGATACACCGAGCATCGAATTGTTATCTGGTAAATCCTCTTGCAAGCTTGGATCCTACAGACCTCTGTTTCATAATGATCCAATATGCCTCAGTTAATCTGTTCGACAATCATTTTTACTTTCCATGTGCTCACGTCTGCATCTTCCTAGAGCATGAGAAAAGAACTTGCCCGTGTTGGTAACTTAATTAAGTCGATAGTAGTGACCTATAATGATTGATGGAAGAACCGGGTTGACGGACTACTTGCACCCGGTCCTTAAACCGCCTCAGATCCATCTTTCGTCTGCGCTCTCTCGCCTTATCAGCGACTCATAGCCATTGTGATCACACACATTCAAACTTTTGCCACACTTTAGTCGGCTCACCCACCTCGAAGTCCCTCCCTCCTACAAGGCTTAGTCCTAGAGCTCTCACTTCCTTCCTGGGATTTGGAGCCGAGCCAGGCGCCGTTCTCTTAACTGTCTGTGCCCTCCGCCATTCGTGGCAGGACCATGGAAGAAGAGTTCAAGTAGTCCGTAAACCGAGAACCGATGTGTTCTATGGATGATTTTGAAACGTATGACACTTTTCAAATTTGTACTCCCTATTTTTTTTCTTTTGGGACGCATAGCAGACAACCGGTTCACCATGTCCCAGAATTCGACAATCCATTTCGTACCATCCCGAAAAAAAAACGTGAATTGGTAAGCAGTTACGAAGTTATTACGACAAGGACCTAGGGCGGGAATGGCACGTTCGTTTAGGTTATCGGATCAGATTTATCGAGAATAATGAAGAATCGTCAAAAAGTAAAAGCAGCTTGCTAAACAGGACTTTTTTATTTCAGCCCCTTACTCGAAATTCTATAGTGGACTCCTTCACACACACAAAAAGTACACATCAATCATAACACGTGATATGATAGGAACAAACCATTTACGACCTCACCTTTCGTTTTAATACCGATCCAATTCAAATAACGGCATAGCTTGTGGGAGATATACGTCTTTCCTCTTGCCGGCAAACCGACCAATGCGATAACATTCGGCACGCGGACTTGGTCATTGGAGCTATCTGAAACGCATAACTTTATATAAAAGATGAAAATATACTAGATGGGATCATTTTTCTATTCAACGACATTGTTTACGGAGCAATGCCCAATGAATTCTGCTCATTTGCTACTGACTTCTGCACTTCTCTTGAATCAAAGATCAAGATGCAAGGACTGATAACAACTAACAGCCTTCAGGTTTTTACTTCAAGGACCCATCACGCTAGTTTTTATCTTCTTGCGATTCTTAAAGATGCAGGCGCTATCAATCACGTACCCGCCAACTGACACGTTAACATACACCATACCACATCTCATATTAGACTTTTTCGAGAACCAGAGTTCCGCTTATCAAGACTACATCACGGGTAAATCGCTATATACGAAGCAACACCACACTAACTCTACGTTTTGGCCAAACGCTTTCAACACATTTTATAGGTCGACCGAGTCCGAAGCACACTGTAGCTTGAACATGAGCGCAATCGAAAGCACTTAAGTTGCAGTTTATGCTTTCTGGCCGCAGATACTACTTGTTTTTCATAATATCTCACACAATCCAGAATATTAGACTGTCGAAAATTGGTGCTCAAAGCAACACCTCCAGATCGATTTGGCGAGGTAAAAGCGGTCGATAATGAAAATGCGGATGCCGAGTTGACTGCAAATGAGAAAAGAAACAAAGAAAATCGCCGATGAAGCCCTCAAACGAAGACTCCCCCTCTTCCACTTCAGGCCGATGTCTTTGCAAATGAGCGATTCGCTGGCGAAGGAGAGGTGTGGCCAGAC